ACTACAAGAGTATAAGCTGGAACAGATTTGAAATCATACAATGTACTTTTCCTCGAGGTGGGCTGACTGTTTGACGAAGGATGAAATCTGAGGTGTAAAGACTAAGATGGTGCGGTTTTTAATATGTTCGCGGTCTTCTTTCGCTGTATAGAAATGCTTTAGTCTCGTTATTTTAAATTTGACATTTCGTCAGGGAGACCAAGATGAAAACAGCTTGTATAGAATTCTCTGTTATTCTAGTCATAGTAACCTCCATCTTCAGACAGTGGACTTGTAAATTGGACTTTTCAATAAATAAAAGGGCTGCTATGAGCTGGTGAGAGGCACTAGAATGCATGATATAATCTTTATCTCTTGTATCTGGTGCTATTTGGTTCAGTAATTCAATTTCATGCTTTGCACATAAAATATGCTATTTTGAAGTTGATATTTTGCCATGGCTACTACATTCAGTATTAGAAAGGGTTAATTTGATCAAATCTTTAAAGTACAAAATCATAAAAGTGGTTTGATTTCGTGTTGTCAAAGGCACATAAATGAACGCATCCTGTACGGAGTTCTCTGTTCTACTAGTCATAGTAATTTTCAGCATCGGATCATGGATTTGGAAATTCAAATTTTCAAATAAAAATAAGGATTCCTAAAAGTAGGTGTGAGGCATGAAGTAATCCTCATGACTTGATTTTGGGTTGTTTTGGGCTTATCGAAATGATTTCCTGCTACGCATCCAGATCAGGTTCTTCCAGAGTTGGTATTCAGCCACGGCTGTGATAATGGCCCATAGAGAAATCATTTCGATTCCTTTTTCGGTGTAAAAAAGTCAACAAGTAGTGTTACCTTGACCGCACCCAGATAAACACACCTTGTAAGAAGAAAAGATCTGTCATGGTATTTATAATAACTTCCGGCAGACGTACATTCGCGGACATTTCGCCGGAAAGTGACGCCAACCGCCGTCGAGGGCAATACGATCAAGGCGGTTCTTGAGGAGGAGGAGGAGAAGAGACTTCGCTGTGAATATGACAGCACTGACTTTGTGTGTTTGCTACCTTTTTTGTGCCTATTCCAGAATCTGAACATCCTTTCAATTGTGCTCTGCATGCCATACGCTAAATGCACAATGCCGCCTGAACCCGTGAAGACGCCGCTTCGAAAGACTGGCCGACTTCCTACATCGTCGAGCCCAGAAGGCGCAACCGACTCAGATTCGGCCTCCGGCCTGACTCAGTGCCTACTTCAGGACAAAAGTAATCGTGTCGCCACGGTAACGGAGAAACAGACTCGTTTCTCTCAAACTCCATCCTCTCGCGGTCCTTCAAGCCCGGCCACAAACAGGCCCACCTCAGTCGCCGACGTGTCCGGCTTCTCTCCGGTCCCTTTGATCGCATCAGACCGGGACACCAAACAGACGGTCCGGTTGCTGGCCAACGGTTGTTTGGCCGGCAAGCTGGACCCGGCAACCGGCAACATCGTCGGTGGCGCTGCGTCCGAAGTGGGCGGCATCGGGCCGCGGCAGCGTCAGCGGCAACGGCGTCTGCTCGAGACCTCCGCACCGAGTCCCTCCGACGCGACGGCGGTTTCGGTCCCCGAGTCCGTTCGCTCCCACACGTTGGGAGGAGCCTCGAACTGCTGCTGCTGTTGCTGTTGCTGTGGATACTGTTGCAATTGTTGCAAGCAGACCGGCGGCTGTCCCCACGGCCGCCGAGCGCCCGGTTCCGGCGTCTCCGAGTCCTGTCACGCCCTGGACCCCCTCGAGGCCTCGTCCACGCCCATGACAACTCGGTTGCAGAATCTCGTCCCATCTTATCTCGAGGCAACGCAATGTCCCCACCGACGAGCTCAATCTCTGCCGCCGGCCGAAACATCTGCCGGTCACTGCGATTGTCCCGTCTGTCCGTCCCGTCTTTCCGCAAGCCTCGCCAACCACGGCCGGTCTGTGGTTGCGGCCAAGCCAGAGGGTCGAACAATCGTGACGCCGGGCAGATGCGCCGTCTGTCAGTACACCAGACAACAACGCCAGACCTGGCAACAGACACCGGCTTGCGATGCTGCGTTTGTCGGTCCGTGGAGCGGAGGCCAGCCGAAGGAGGCGGTGACAACTGGCGACTCGGCCCGACGACGTCAGATGAGCCTGCGCGCCTCAGTCTGGTGGCCGGACGAGACGACCGGCGCATGTGCAACATGTGCCCGATCGGACGGCAACCCCCGCCCTGACGACATGTGGCCGGAGGCCAGACTGCGTTACGCCTATCGCAACGGCCAGCAGGTGTTGGTGCAACCGCAGACATC